GGCTGTTGTGTGGTTTCACTAGGCAGAATGAGCACAATACAAGTTGTCTTTTTCACCGTCTGTTTTGCCCCTGGTCTGTTTTGCCCCCTGTCTGGTTTCCCCATATTTCCCCCGTCTGTTTTCCACCTGTTATCCCCCCCCCCCCCCCCTTTTTTTTTTAACCTTTGCGGATCACTACCGAAAGGTTTCTTCTTCTTCTTCTTCTTCTTCTTCTTCTTCTTCTTCTTCTTCTTCTTCTTCTTCTTCTTCTTCTTCTTCTTCTTCTTCGATCCTTTTGTCAGAAAACTTATATCAGGAGGCCGGTAGCCTTTATGAAAGCTACCGTACAATCCCTCTCGTGTACCATACAGTTTTGTCTTCATTGTGGTTGGAACAGGCCAGATTTGATCAAATTCGAGACTTTAAATAAGTCTCATTCTGGGTGGCAGAAAACAGAACAAATCTCAGAACCGTAGCTCCTTAGAACGTGCTTGACTTCCTGTCTGTGAAAAAGTTTGTTGTCGAAGAATATGAAGACAAATGACGACCCTAGCCTCTCTTGAGGCGACAACTGTCGGTTGTGAATACAGAATGCCTGCAACTTGGCGTCGTATATGTGTGTCAATTATCCTGGGCGTATCTGCCATTAGTGGCGTTCGGAAATAACCGCCCACATAACTGGCTGGCCGCGTTGGTGCCATTTACGCGTAATGCACTCTCAGATCACCGTCTAACTAATGCCAGTTATCAGGGCGGCGTATCAGCCATTCATGAGGTTTGGAAATTACTCCCCATGCAGGTTACAGAGTTTGTCACACTTAATAGAGACGGGGCATCGAGGTTGCTGGGTAAACTGTTTCATTAGGTACGGCAGAATAGAGCAAAGTAGCAGCCTAGCCCTCGCCCTCGCCCGCTAGGAGAAGTCGTGTGTACCAGTTGACTTTGGTTGCTAGAAGGCGCCTAATGGGTGCTTAAAGTAAGGACATGGAAAGTTCTCTTCACGAGCGCAGATGGTAGAGAACGTCAAGCGAGACTTGGCCAGGCAAGGAGTGTGTCAGACCAGGGGGGAAATGGGCGGGAATGGCGATATATATAACAACTAAACGTCACGACCGGGTGACGAACTTCTTGTGGTCCAGGTTCACTCCCGGGTGTAGGCAGAAAAGCCACATTTCTCCCAGAAGTACGGTACCTATCATGGAATCAAGGCCGAAGGATTGCGATATCCATAGTACCGAGCCAAAGGGTTAACAACTCGTAGTTTCTGGATATTTAAAAAAAAAAAAAAAACTAAAACTAAATATATCACGGCAGAGAATTTGCCAGTTTTTTTTAAATTTTAATTGGAAAGTTCCTCAGTGGGTTCCAGCATGATACATTTTTATCTGGGGTAAATAAAAGTGGGCGGGCAAAGAACTGTCCTGTACCCACCCGCCCAACAAACAGGTCTCTTGTAAACGGTGTCTACTTGAAAATGTTTCTTTCGAAGTCGGAGTGCAACTCTGCGTGAATTGAGGAACCAACAGTCTGCATACAAATAAGCCAGATCTGTGAAACGGTTGTGCACGTAACACTCAGACCCTGGTGCCAGGCTTAAATCCGGAGGTAGACGAACGGACCATGCAGACGACGTCACCAAACCGAGCTGACGACACGTCCAGACATGACCAGACCCTACGCGTCTCTGCCGAATCTGTACAGCTGACAGGATGTCCAAGAACTGACATGATGAAGTAGTTTATCGCCAGGTAAAGAAACAGTGGTTCCGCTCATCAGCTGACAGGATGTGTCCAAGAACTGGCATAATGAGGTAGTTTATCGCCAGGTGAAGAAACAGTGGTTCCGCTCATCAGCTGACAGGATGTGTCCAAGAACTGGCATAATGAGGTAGTTTATCGCCAGGTGAAGAAACAGTGGTTCCGCTCGTCAGCTGACAGGATGTAGACAAGTCGCGTGCCTGGCATAGAGCGGTCTGTACGCTTATCGTGTGTGCTTCTTTGAGAGGATCCCGACTCTTTGATGATGGTATCCGACTGAAGATATCTGCAAAATTATTTTTTTGTCATGGCAGTTGGAGCTGGTTGTTTCTTGTCTGATCTCCAGCGGAGCACGGGAACGTGATAACCGTTATCAAAGGCGGGCTAGTGCGAGCAGTAAAAACTCGCTGGGAATCTTCTGTGTTGATGTATGGATTTCTGTCTATCTTCTTTAACCCCACTAGGACACCTCACAAGCGATAAACTTAATTAACACCCGATGACACAAAGTGCCCCCATGTGGATGAGGATCACCCGCAGATAAGTCCCAGAAACCGCGTTCAGCCATTAGACCATATTTATGGCCGGGCTATATTGCGGCCCCTGACAAAAGAGGGAGCCAGTCTTGTTCCAACCCTCCATACTGTCCTATTACGACAAGCATTGTATAATGCAGTGTTAGTCTTGTTTGCTCCCCGTCTGCGCCCAGGCAACACACGCCAATAGACTCATGTCTCTGGAGTACATTCAAGATGACCAACACACAACGACGACCTCGCACACACAACGATGACATCGCACTCACAACGATGACATCGCACTCACAACGATGACCTCGCACTCACAGCGATGACCTCGCATACACAACGATGACCTCGCACACACAACGATGACCTCGCACTTACAGCGATGGTCTCGCACACAAAAACGATGACCTCTCACACACAAACGATGACCTCTCCCACACAACGATGACCTCTCACACACAACGATGACCTCACACACAACGACGACCTCGCACACAAAACGATGACCTCTCACTCATAACGATGACCTCTTACACACAACGATGACCTCTCACGCACACACAACGATGACCTCGCACACACAACGATGACCTCTTACACACAACGATGACCTCACACACACAACGATGACCTCTTACACACAACGATGACCTCTTACACACAACGATGACCTCTTACACACAACGATGACCTCTCACGCACACACAACGATGACCTCTTACACACAACGATGACCTCACACACACAACGATGACCTCGCACACACAACGATGACCTCTCCCACACAACGATGACCTCTCACACACACACAGGACTGCAGGTTGACACTAGACTAATCTAGCCGTTACGAATTGTCCAGTTGTAATTTATTTGCAGTTTGAACGTGGTATCTTGTATTTGCCGTACTCGTCTGTCATCCGGATTGAGATTTGGTAACCTCGAAGGCGTCAAACTTTCAGACAGCCTGAGAGAGAAAAGACCTGGCACGGCAAGAGGACGCAACGCTTGAGAAATTTTCATTACACATTGTGCATAGATAAATAGGCGGGGAACATGTAAATCGCTGGGGTGAAATGGTGAAAACACAGTTGGGGGAAAAAAAAGAATCATCGTAACTATCCCGTGTACCGGCTCTACCTGTGCAGACCTATTTGTGTTACATTGAACTGATCATTTTGACAGATCTCTGGGTGTTTGGGACCGACTTCCTGATGACAGAAACAGACAATCCCAGCGATATTTGTTTGTTTTTGGCTTGCCCATTTGGATTTGTACTCAACTTTACTTCCAGTCCTGTCGAGGTTCGTCTTCACGTACTTGGCTGATTGATCGATGTTGATGATCGTAATTGACACGGTTCGCAAGTTTTCCTCTTTGCTGTTTTTGTGGAAATTTTTTTAAACCGGGGTTGGGGGTTGTTTGGTGAAGTCGTTGTGCAGAACTGTGGGAGCCTAGTCATGCCATGATCACAGGAGGTTCCTTAGGGTCGCTTCCTGTTCATAGGTTACAAAATCATGGTCAGTATTTTTTTTTTAAAGATCCCAGGTGGTCATTATATTGTCTCCATTTAAAGAAAAGCGGGCGCCGGGAAAGGGTGGGAAAAAAAAAGGGGGGGGGGGCGGAGATACCCAGTGCGCTAGTAATAAAGAGTCCTTCGCAACTTTACTTCTTCTTCTCTTTCACCTTCTACCTCATCGAAGTGTAAAAAGGGGGGGGGGGGGGATTTAACGTTCGTTAATGAGCTCTGTCAAGAGCACTATAAGGACTGATTTTCATTTCTTTAAGGCTGTTCTTAATGCCATCACTCCATGTTTTCCGAGGTCTTCCGCTCGCTCTATACCCGTTGTAACGTTTTAGTGTGGCTCGCTGAGGCAGATAGTACCAGGGCATTCTTGTTTGGTTCCAAACACTTCATTTGTTGTTCTTTGTTGACCTATTTCCTTCACAACTTCACTAACTAACTACTGATCGTATTCCTTGTAATCCGCCACCCAGCCCGTCCGACTTTCTGACCTTGTGATCCGCCACCCAGCCCGAGCGACTGCCTGACCGTGTGATCCGCCACCCAGCCCGACCAACCGTCTGACCTTGTGATCCGCCACCCAGCCCGAGCGACTGCCTGACCGTGTGATCCGCCACCCAGCCCGTCCGACTTTCTGACCTTGTGATCCGCCACCCAGCCCGAGCGACTGCCTGACCGTGTGATCCGCCACCCAGCCCGACCAACCGTCTGACCTTGTGATCCGCCACCCAGCCCGAGCGACTGCCTGACCGTGTGATCCGCCACCCAGCCCGACCAACCGTCTGACCGTGTGATCCGCCACCCAGCCCGAGCGACTGTCTGACCTTGTGATCCACAACCCCGCCCGACCGACTGTCTGACCTTGTAATCCACAACCCAGCCCGACCAACTGTCTGACCTTGTAATCCACAACCCAGCCCGACCGACTGTCTGACCTTGTAATCCACAACCCAGCCCGACCGACTGTCTGACCTTGTAATCCACAACCCCGCCCGACCGACTGTCTGACCTTGTAATCCACAACCCAGCCCGACCAACTGTCTGACCTTGTAATCCACAACCCAGCCCGACCAACTGTCTGACCTTGTAATCCACAACCCAGCCCGAGTGACTGTCTGACCGTGTGATCCGCCACCCAGCCCGACCGACTGTCTGACCTTGTGATCCGCCACCCAGCCCGAGCGACTGCCTGACCTTGTCTTCTTCTCTCCCCAGGAGTTTGAGTGCGGCCTCCAGTTTGAGAGCTCCGAGAACGCCAAACAGGAATGGTCAGTGACTCTTTACGACTTCGACGGCCGGGGCAAAATCACCAAAGAGGTATGGTCACTTCCAGCCTTCTTCTTCGTCGTCTTCTTTCTCTTCTCCTTATTTTTCTTCGTCGTCTTCTTTCTCTTCTTCTTCTTCTTCGTCGTCTTCTTTCTCTTCTTCTTCTTCTTCTTCTTCTTCTTCTTCTTCTTCTTCTTTCTCTTCTTCTTCTTCTTCTTCTTCTTCTTCTTCTTCTTCTTCTTCTTCTTCTTCTTCTTCTTCTTCTTCTTCTTCTTCTTCTTCTTCGGCAGCAGCATTTGCACTTATATAAGCGGTTAGTCTGGCAGTCTTAGTTTCAGCTTCATAGCAAACAGGTCACATCATCTTTGCTCCGCTCCTGTGCGAACGAAAAACACACATAATGTTTATCACAGTCCCTTGTGAAAGATTGACAGTCTGCTGTCTCAGCATATCTGGCATACACTCGCATTAAAGCATTAGGTATCTATCCGAAGTGCTAACACAAACAGTCCTACATTAGAAATGCAGTTCATCATTGACGGTAACAGAAGTCACCAACAGATCTGCAGTTGCCCACGCGATCAAATTCAATCACATACGGGCTCCACCAAAATTGCGACGACGGGCCACGCGCCATTTTCTGAATCTACAATTCACACCACCACGTTGGTCACAGTCGAAAAACATTCCAAATGAAATCCGCAGCTCACAGTGTCACGCCATGCCATGCATTCAACTCAGAAGCTGGGCGACGAAACTATATCCAGTCTACAAATGGATAATGGAACAAAAATGCATCGGCCACCATCCGAGGAGCAAACAAATTTGCCTCAGCTCCACACAGTGGCCCGCCTAGCGTCTATTTTGACAGGAGAGCGGTTGGTACGCAGTGTTATGTTTACAGCTTGGTTGTGATATCTGCGTGGTTCGGTCCAATACATCTGATTTCAACAATTTCCCAGCACTCAATACATATGTCAGGACTTAATTTTCCACTAGTTTTCACATTGGACAGAAAAGGAAATTTTGTCTGACTGTCACTGTGTCGCGCGCCCACGTGGGTAAATACACTGATATAGTGAGGGTGTGGGTTTGAACCTTAACAATGCCCACCCACGTGAGAAACTGGACTATTATCTAAGCTATGTTGATCCTAGACAGTCCTGGATAGCCAAGAAAACAGCGAGTGGCTCGTTCCATGAAATGAAAGTTGCTGTACTTGTATCCACAGGAGAAGGAGAAGGGATAGATAGATATCTGGATACACCCACTGTGATATAATCCAGGTGCTCATTTAACCCCTGCGACTGGTCTCCTTTCCTGGCATTACTTAAAAGCCCCCATCAAGTGATTTAAATATTTGTTAGCTGAAGTAAACTAATATGCACAAAGACACTTGAACCTAAGTACACAATTTACTTAACTCTGTTGTAACTCAAAAAGATTTATTTAATAAATCTGACTAAAATAAAATGAACTTGTTTAGGCTAGTAGAGTTGGGATGATGTTATAGATGACATTAAAGTTGTACATAACTTAGCTCATCAGGACAGTTCTCGGCTTGAGACCCTGCCTATCTTTTCCAGTTTGTCGTCCTCACTGCTTTCTGCAGGTCGTTACACTCGACGGTCGGCAAATAATGGATGCCTACTAGTCCCTGCCCAATGTGGGAACTGGAGAATGAAGAAACAAGCGCATATTTGTAGTATCTGCTCTAGTTGTATAGCATGTATATTATACTAACATCAAGCATGTTTATTTAAATAAAACATTTCATCTCTCTCTCATTCTCACATTCACTCCTGTCCAATTTGGAAGGGCTTATGTCTCACATTCCAACTGTTACATCTTCTGCCTTCCTCTACACGTCCAGTAATGATAGTCAAGTCTTCTACGTCAGGTGCCATCTCTCGTACAGACTCAAAATGACAATCAGTCAGACAGAACCAGTTCTGGAATCTATGCTTGGAACAATCGACGCGCCCAGAATGCTAACAGTAGTTCTGGTGCGAATCAAATAACAAATCTCGTGGATTTACTCTCCGGGATCAATCTCCGCATTAGCCTCCCGAGAGTTAAACACATTTCAGTGTGTTAGCTGTATGTAATACAGATTCACATTAACCACACGTGAAAAGATTGCCAAAGTTATCTTCACGCTTGTGATTTCAAAAACATGATAGTTCATTAAATTTCAATGGCAACAACAACATTTAGGTTTTACAACATTGAAACACATGTGCCCGAAAAAACATTCATGACACTATCAAATAGGAAATAAAGCAATGTGACAGTGCCCTACGAGAATGAAGAAATGTCCGCCTAGGAGTACTACAAAGTGATGAAGACACACACTTGAGCAAAAAGACAGATCTCTATCATAAAATATAGATGTGAACCTAATTTCGATCTTACCTGGAAAAATGAAACCACGATGCCAAAAGTTCTGTCTCAAGCTTAGGTTAAGCCCAACAGATGGCATGTGCTCGACAGGATCTCATTTACCAGACCTATAGTTCACCCCTTTATAACTTTTATCAAGCTCCTCCTACATTACGCCTAAAATCATTCTCATTAAGGGATATCACAGCTCCTCCCTTGTGGGTGTATATTCACTGTCAGTCAGTGACTGTACAACAATTGTTTGAAATCCCACGCTAGGATCTCCTGGTCAATTCATCTGACAGAGCAAATAGGACAAGTCACACCTCTGGCCTACTTCACCGGTCATCACAATAAAATCCGACTTTGTCAATTCTTCTGCCAACACTTTCCGCTCACTGTGTCAATAGTGACCGTCGGACCGGCACTCCAGTTTAGGTAACCTCAGGGGGAATTAAACACAATTAGCCGGAGTTAGCTGCTCCTAAAAGTCTGGCTAGGAGATAAAATTTCTGACACCAACAGATGGTGTGCAAATCTCCAGTCAGTAAGTCTGCTTGGTCAGTCTTATCTCTGTACCTTAACACTTAACGTCTGGGAAAAAGTTTTAGTGTGTGATATCGCCAACATCCCAGGAGAATTAAATGCTTGTTCATTTCGCCTACTTAAAATAAAGAATGTATCCAAATCCCTATTTTCCTGTATACTTTCAAAATACAAAGAAATAAAAGTAGGTTAAGGAATAACATTCTGGAGTCACCGAGCGTATTGTCACACACTGGCACAGAAACGGAGCATCTGTAGTGAGGTTGGAACGTCTACTAGCTTACTAACCAGCCAACACTGCACGAACTAAAAGCTTTTGATAACCCCTAAGCATATTTAGGGCATCCATCAACAATCAAGCGAGCGGCCCCTGAACGTGAAACAGAGAAAGTCAGCCGCCTAACGCGACCGAGTTAACACTTACAACAGATGGTCTTGAATATATTTCCATACAGTTTTTTCTTCATCTCATACAAAAACATCATCGTTATGTGCCTTACCGATGTACTCATTGACGGAGAGACTTTTCTCTGGTACTCATTCCCCTCTTTCCCACGTTGTCTTCCACTGTCTTGTCTTCTCTCCTATATAGGCTTCTTTCTGACGTTACTCTCTGAGTCCACCCTCATCAAACCATTTCTCCTATCTGTCTATCCGCCTGTCTGTCTGCCTGTCTATCTATCTATCTATCTATCTATCTATCTATCTATCTATCTATCTATCTATCTATCTATCTATCTATCTATCTATCTATCTATCTATCTATCTATCTATCTATCTATCTATCTATCTATCTATCTATCTATCTATCTATCTATCTATCTATCTGTCTGTCTGTCTGTCTGTCTGTCTGTCTGTCTGTCTGTCTGTCTGTCTGTCTGTCTGTCTGTCTGTCTGTCTGTCTATCTATCTATCCGCTGTCTGTCTGTAAATCTATATATCTGTCTAGTCTGTCTCCTGCCCCGCCCCCACACTCCTTCCGCTTTCTACATTCTTTTCGTAATATGACTGCGGATCCGTCATGTTGCAGTGGCTTGCTGACTTGTCGGTACTTTTCTTTAATTCACCCCATCTCCAGGACTCCGAGATTTCTTGGGAGTTCCCGGGAAATTCCAGTATCTACCTGGGGAGTGGGTAGGTAAATTTAGAATTAGCAGGTGTTCATTTCCTATCCTAACACCCCTATACTATTGGACTTTCCTTGGAACTCCTCACGAAATTAAAATAAAAGAACGAACTTGCCTGCTGTTTTATATATAGATCTGGCTTCTTTGTGCGCAAAATGTTGGTTCCCTAACTCTAAGGCACATGCACTTAGCTTTGAAACATAACTAATCAGTAGACTTTTACGTCATGCTTGTGAGGTGACAGTGGCGGTCTCCCCCCCCCCCCCTTCCCCAACCCCTTTTATTTCCCGATAAAATGCTAAATAATAATTACTTAGAGATTATACAATCTGACATACGTGTGACGTTCAGAGTCTCACCCGCCATTCAACCATTGTAGTTCCAGATCAGGTCACGGTCACATAATAAGATATGCAGTTTTGGCGGCTCAATCTGACATGTACCTGGCAAGTTGTTGACGAACACTGATCTGGTAGACCGATCAGTACTTACTTACTTACATGGTCGCTCCTCTTCTACCTTAGGGTGTAGAGGTTTGCCAGAGAGATCGCCAGACGTCTTTATCAGCCGTTTTCTTTCAGGCTTTGTTCCATTCCAGTCCTCTGTCAGTTAGGGACTGTCAGATGTTGTCTTCCCAGCGCACCCTGGGTCGTCCTGGAGGGCTGGTTCCCTGGTTCTTAGCCTCGCATGCCTGCCATGGTGGCCGATTTTCTCCCATTCTGCATACATGTCCAAACCATCGTAACTGTGACTGATCTACTCGGGTTAGTAAGGACTGGGTATCAAAATCTTGACGTACTGTCTGATTGCGGACTTTGTCCCTTCTTGTCAATTAGACCACCTTTTTCAGATATCTGATTTCCGAGGCCTGCAGCTGGCTTCTGGGAGCTGTTGTCATTGCCCATGACTCACACCCATACCTCGCAGTACAGTACATAATCAGTTACATTGACTCTCATCTCATTAGATGAACAAAGGGTTAACATCCTTCTTATA